ACTCACAGAGATCTGCCTGCCTCTGCCTCCCGAGTGCTAGGATTAAAGTCGTGTACCACCAACGCACGGCTTTGTGTGTGTGTGTGTGTGTGTGTGTGTGTGTCTGTGTGTCTGTGTCTGTGTGTGTGTGTTTAAGATTTTATTTATTTATTATATATACAACATTCTGCTTCCATGTATATCTGCACACCAGAAGAGGGCACCAGATCTCATAAGGGATGGCTGTGAGCCACCATGTGGTTGCTGGGAATTGAACTCAGGATCTCTGGAAGAGCAGTCAGTGCTCTTAACGTCTGAGCCATCTCTCCAGCCTCAGTAAAAGGTACACACTTTTCTGAACAGTTCATTGAGGATTTTTGTTTTTTACAGTTCTGGGGTTCAAACCCAGGGCCTTGTTTATACTGAGCAAGTTCTCGGGGTACCTTGTATGTTTTTGTACATAGTTTTTGTGGACACGAGGCTCGTTTCCTTCTGTGACATTCTCAGAACTGCTGAGGAGTAGCTTACGGGGCTGGACAGTTTCCCATGAAAGAAGTGTTTTTATCTCCCCCACAGAGTCCCCAATCTGGCTGTTCTGCATCCTTTGCTGTGCTTGGTGTTTGTGTCCTTTATCAGTGATAGCCCTTCTGGCGGGGTTGCAGGATATCCCAGTGTGCCTCCACGTCATAGTTGCTTTTCTTAGGTGCTTCCCCCATCCTCTGGACCTCCCTAACCTGGCTGCCTGACCCAGCCCTGTCCTTTACCCTGGTCTGCTTTCTTACAGGTGGTTTTTCCCCATCATTGGCCACATGGGCATCTGCACATCCACCGGAGTCATTCGGGACTTCGCTGGCCCTTACTTTGTTTCGGTGAGTCTCCATTTTGCCCTGCCCTGGAGAGTCTCCAGGCTCCCATAGAAAGGCTGGCCTGGCCCAGGAAGTTGCAGGTAACTCTCAACCCTGTCCATAGCCTTCTGCCCCTCACCAGTGTTTGACCCCTTTCCTTCTCTTGCCTCCAGGACAGGCCAGGAGGGCAGTGTGGCCAGAGGAATCTTAAGTAACTGGCTCAGCCCTCTGCCCCCATCCCTGGGTACCAAGACATGGGTAGGGGTTAGAGGCAAGAGTGGAGTCAGACCATCCAGGAACCACATCTCTGGACCTTCAGAAGGTGGGAGCCATGGTTGGGGCACAAGGGAGGCTCACATGGTCCCCAGGGTGGGGCTTTCAGACTGACCCAGCCGTGTTCTCAAATCTGCATCCGGGGGATGGACCTGCACTAGTCCAGTGGGCTCTTTGCAGATGAGCAATGGCATTTGCCTATTTTCAGGTAGCTAAAGCTGGAACAAAGGGGTGTGATAGCATAGCCTGTTTGAATCAATGGTTCTTACAGCCATCCTGACAGGACAAGGCCTATTGTTGTGAACTTCATACTTTCCCTAGCTAAGATTGTGGGTCATGCCTCTCTAATCCCAGCATTGAAACTCAGGCAGAAGGATTGCCCAGAGTTGGAGGTCAGCCTGGGCTACATAGTGAGTTCCAGGTTAGTTTTGGTTATAGAGTTGAAAAAATAAAACAAGACCAGGCGTAGTATCACATGCCATTAATTCCAGTACTCAGGAGGCAGAGAGATCAAGGCCAGCCTGGTCTCCATAGTGTTCCAGGACAGACAGGGCTACATTGAGAGACCCTGTCTCAATATATGTAATCAGATTTCTGGGGTGTGTGTGACTCCCCACAGTCTCCCTCATAAGAGTTCTGTGGGTCCGGCAGCCTCCCTCCCGCCCCAGGTTTCATGTGAGCTGTCACTGTTGCATTGAGAGGTCGGGGCTGACGCTAGGCATGAAGGGAAGCTCTGGTCCATGGTGAAAGGTCAAGGCTGCCCTGAGGACATCGGGAGAGGGCCAGAGAAGCCCCTGGGCCTTGCAATGCCTCCCTTCCACAGAGATGCCATGCCATGCCGTGCTGCAGCTCTGCTGTCCCCTTCTAAGTCACTGCACTGGAGCCACTGACCCAGGGTTGTCATGAGACTGGATGTAGATTCCACACTGACTTGTGCTCTGGTCTCTCAACAGGAAGACAACATGGCCTTTGGAAAGCCTGCCAAGTAAGTGAACAGTCCTGTGCCTAGTCCTCGGCCAGGTTCCTCCTGCTCAGAGCAACAGGCCAGCAGGAGCCAGCACCCTGAGGACAGTTAGAGCCCATGAGGACACAGTGCCCTGTACCTAGTGTACCAGTCCCTATCTAGGCCTCATCCTGTAGACTGACCGCGTCTTCCTCAGATCTGAGAGGTTGTGTTTTCAACTCCACGGCACAGGAGAACAGAAAGGGATGGGACTCGGGCAAGGTCACACAGTTAGGGAGCATCAAACCTAGCTCTCACAGCCAAGTCTGTCTTCCTGTGTAGCCTGGAGTCCTTCACCCTGGGGAACAAGCAGGCTGTTAAGGAATAGAAGGCTGCTTGGGGCTCCCCTGCAGTTTTGTTTGAAGGATGTGAAAGCGCGCTCAGGCCCTTTGAGAGCAAAAGCAGGTTTCATTGCAGGCTTGTCTTTATTCTTCAGCCCTGGGTGGTTCCTGTGACTCTTGGCTTGGTGACAATGCCTCAGAACTACATCAGGTATCCTGTGGCCCAAAGCTACACAGGAAGCTGCTAGACAAGGTGGCTTGGAGCAGAGCTCCCTGCTGTGGCTTCCTCAGGCAGGTAGAGATGTGGTCTAGGGGGTTTCTTTGGGCTGTTTTTCAGTGTTTGAGTTGTTTAATTTTTGTATTTTCAAAGACGTTATTAAGGACAGCCTGCTCTGAGCAGGAGCCCCTGAGCCCCACACTCAGCCACAGCGATTTTTACCTCCATGTCCACTGCTGATCTCCCGCCACTGTCTCCCCTCCGTTATCGTCCCCCATCCCTGTCCCTGCCTCTGGGGCCCTCTGCTGCTCCCAGAAGCCAGCTGACTGACCTGCCTGGTGTTAGGGGCTTCAGCTCTGCCAGCTGTTTTCCCACTCTAGCAGCTGAGTTGGGGAGAATGCTGCTGCTGGGTTAACCACCTCAGTGTGACATCTGCGTGTCCTGCCTCAGCTGTCACTTCGTTCCCCAACACCTTGTTTTCTCCCGAGTCCTCCGGGATTGCTCAGTCACTTATTTCTGGGACACACTGAACAGTTGAAGCTTCCCACCTTACTCAAGCTGTTCCCACAGCCCCCGGTGCTGACCTAACCCCTCTTCTGTCAGCCTAGACTCAGGTGTTCCCTCTGTCTTCATCCATTTAGGTTGCCATGACAAAATGCTGTTGAGTGGGTGGCTGGTCGACAACAAAAATGTCTCAGCATTGGAGAGTAGGAAGGCCAAGAACAGGGTGCTGGTACACTCCATGCCTCTCGGGACCACAGTGCCTTCTTGTTCCCACATGTGATGAAAGGAGTGGAGGGGTCTCTCAGGCCCGTGTTTTTGTTTTTTAAGATGTACCAGTGTAATCTTTCTTTTTTAAATTTGTTTTTATTTATTTTATTTGCATTGGTGTTTTGCCTGCATGTACATCTGAGGCATGTCCGATCTTGGAGTTACAGACAGTTGTGAGCTGCCATGTAGGTGCTGGGAATTGAACCCAGGCCCTCTGGAATAGCAGCCAGTGCTCTTAACCACTGAGCCATCTCTCCAGCCCCTCAGGCCTGTTTTTTTAAGGTCACTGACCCCACCCATAAGGGAGTTCCTGGGGGTTAGGATTTCAATTTAAGAATAGGGAACAGAGGCAGGGCGGTGGTAGCCCATTCCTTTAATCCCAGCACTCGGGAGGCAGAGGCAGACGGATCTCTGTGAGTTCGAGACCAGCCTGGTCTACAAGAGCTAGTTCCAGGACAGCCTCCAAAGCCACAGAGAAACCCTATCTCTAACAAACAAACAAACAAAAAAAAAAAAAACAAAGAATAGGGAACAGTCCTCATTAGTGGCAGGGGTGAAAAATTCCTTTAGATCCCAGCAAAGACGGGCAGATCTCTGTGAGTTCAAGGCCAACCTGGTCTAGAGTGTGAGTTCCAGGACAGCTAGGATTACACAGTGAAACCCTGTCTCAAAAAACCAAAAAAGAAAAAAAAAAAAAAAAAAAATAGGGTCTCAAACATTGAGACCACATAATCACTCTGGATTAGTCTGAATCTTCCCAGGAGCCTTTGTGGCACTGATGGTCTTTCCTGGTCACAATTGTCTCACTTCCTGGGGCGATGCAAACAGACTTGTGTACAGATTGGACACGTGATTGCACCCAAATGGAGCTTCATAAGCCTGAATTTACTGGGGTCACTTATAGGAGTGTGAGTGTCCCAAAGGCAGTTGACTCCCAGGAAAGTTAACATTGTGGGCTCAGCTCGTGAAGCTGTTCCTGCATTTTCCCGCATGTCATGCTGGCACCTGGGAAACTCAGTCTCTTCCCCACACCAATTGCTATAACTTGAAAAGCCTTGGGGAAGGGCCTTGAGACTCTCTTGCAGGAGTTTGCTGAGCCCTTTGAGTTTTCTTTCCCAAGTCTCAGGGGTTTCCCTCTTCCCTGCAGAAGAGAATGTTTCAATTGGGAGGAAATAGCTGCATCACACTAGACCTGGCACTACCTGGTCGCCCCACAGCCTTGGGCACCCCACGCAGAGAACATTCATAAAGCTGGAAGGCTACAAAGGGACTGAGCCAGTGCCCAGAGCTTCCCTTTTCTCTTCAGGTTCTGGAAATTGGACCCTGCGCAGGTATATGCTAGTGGGCCCAACGCATGGGACACAGCTGTGCACGATGCCTCTGAAGAATACAAGCACCGAATGGTAGGTGGGAACTTGAGGGGTGGAAAACTCCCCTCTACCTCCTCCAGCCCAATCTGACCCAGCTGCTTTTGTATCTCCAGCACAATCTCTGCTGTGACAACTGCCACTCACACGTGGCATTGGCCCTGAACCTGATGCGATACAACAATAGCACCAACTGGAACATGGTGACACTCTGCTTCTTTTGCCTGATTTATGGGAAGTATGTCAGGTGAGCTGTCTTCCCATCTGCAAGCCCGCCACCCCCACCCCACCAGACCACTTTCCCAAGGATCCTAGAAAAGTTGTCATTGAAGTCCTTCACTCTCCAGGGAGGTTCTAATCTAGAGCGACCGAGTTCCTGATGGAGAGCAAGATGGCTATACCAAAGTCCTACTCCACATGGGTTTACAGCTGACTTGTCACTTGCTCACTGCGAGGTCCTAGGTACCTGCTTCTGGGCTACAGCTGTCCCTGTAGTGGCTCTGGCTTCTAGAGAAGCTATGAGTCTACAGATGTTCAGATGAACACACAGATCTCTTGGATAGTGTCTCCCCTTCCACACACCCCCACCCTGTGTCCTTTGTCAGAGGCAAGCTTCCGGACAGTTGAGCTTCTAGACCAGGCAGATGAAGCCACAGACTCATGACCTGTGAGGCATTCATCTCAGATCATACTGAGAGGATTCAGGGTGAGTGAGTTCCCTGGATTCTACTGCAGAGCCCAGACTTAGGAACCATCCCACCCCCCAACTTTGTTTTTAATTGTGCTTATCATTATGAGCTTCTGGAAGGGAAATTCTCAGGGGGCTTCTTTGCCCCTAGAAGGCTTTAGAGACTTCCCCCCAAAAGAACATGACTAGGTACAGGATTGGGCCCTGACTCCTAGCCCTGTGACCCTGGCTGTCCGTTGTCCATCTCTCTCTGTGGATCCCCCCCTCAGTGGGAGCTCCTGGTCATGAGTGATTGTAGGTGCCAGTGAGACTCACACAGTTCCTTCCTTCCAGGCCTCCACAGTAGGCATCAGGCTAGACCCTGTCCCTTGGCTGCCCAAACTGAAGACTAAGTTCCAGGAGCCTTCTAGGACCTTAAGCCCTGTCAGGGTGGGGAAAGGGGGGATTCTGGGCCATCCATCTGCTTGCCTGACTGTGTTGCTCTCCTTCGCCAGTGTTGGAGCCTTTGTGAAGACCTGGCTGCCCTTTGTCCTTCTGCTGGGTATCATCCTGACCGTCAGTCTCATCTTCAACCTGTGGTGAAAACTTTTAGATGGTCTAAGCCCACCAGGTCCCTAAGGAGTCTCCACCACCCCCCTGGTCCAGTTCTTTTGCCCCCCCCACCCCCTC